GGTGAAGAAAGTGGAGAAGAGTCAGGCGGAGAAGAAAGCGGGGAAGAGTCAAGCGGTGAAGAAAGTGGAAAAGAGTCAAGTGGTGAAGAAAGCGGAGAAGAGTCAAGTGGCGAAGGAAGTGGAGAAGAGTCAAGCGGTGAAGAAAGTGGGGATGGGTCAGGAGACGAAGGAAGTGGAGAAAACTCGGATGGTGACGAAAGTGGTGAAGAGTCAGGAGGGGAAGGAAGTGAGGAAGAGTCAGGCGAGGAACAAAGTGCCAAAGGGTCAGGTGGTGGGGAAAATGGGATGGAGTTAAGCGGTGAAGGAAGTATTGAGCACAGTGGCAGCGGTTCCGGAGATTCAAGTGGTTCTGAGATCGTTGTTGTTAACAATGGACGAGTTCTTCTAGGTGGTGGTGTTTCACGCACTCCTACCTCTGGGCCTGAGATAACACCTATTGCTGAGGTGTATTATATGCCATTTTGAAGTAAAAGACAACATATCGGTTCCAACGCCATGATGCTTTCAACAGTTGCCTTCCTGATGGAAAAACACTTCCATTTTTGTGATTTTAGATAATCAAGAAATAAATTGACGTCAGCCACGCTAAAATCACTTGGTTAACTAAAAAACGGTAGCTATAGTGAAACCTGAAAGCTTGTCTTGTCCTCTAGCGCTCTTGAGGATTTTACAACTTTTTTTGATTTTGAGGCGTGAAAATATGAACGTAGCCACTGACTGTGAATTTCTTGATGAGATTTAGCTGTTACTCGTACAACGATTAAAGGGGGGTGATAATAGCGATGTAGTAAATAAATAAAGACCGCTTGAACGACCTTGGTTTAATGCAGATTCGACTCTACTTTCCCATGAGATCTACTATCCCCGGATGTAAAGAGAAGTACCGGGAATCTTGGGGAGGAAGGAGAGTGCAAAAATGCACGCATGAATAATCGCTGCAAAAAAACACAATTGTTTGAAAGCTGGAACCCGTACACACACGAAAGCCTGCCTTAGTTTGTCCATGTCTTAGTTTATGTAATGCTTCGAGCTGCTTTGGTTTTGTTGAAAGTTTTGTGTTTTGTTGTTAGATAACAAATGGTATACGGTAAAGCGAGCAGTATTGAGTGATGGATGCACTTGGGAGGTTTATCGAATCGAAGCACCCAAGAAGTTGTTAGCAACTTCTCTCGTGCAACCAGCACTCAATAGTGCACCCTGACGGCGCCGTTCACTATTTGTCGACTAAAGCGTAAAAGTGGCACTATAACGGGCGCCACTTCCAAATGTTTAACCCTAAACGACAGATTTTCATAAGTCTTTTGAATGCAGAAGCCCACACGACGCAATACGCTGTTTCTGTAGAATGCCGGATGTCATACCTTTCTGGAAGGCCTCAATAAACCAGACGTTCTATCGTAGTGCCAACCTTGCATTCAGTTTTAACTAGACGTATTTTCGCTGATGAGAATCTAAATATGATGCTTTAGTTGTGTTCAAATATGTAATTCCAGACTACGCGAGATTTTTGCCAGGTCCACCAGTGTGCGTAGAAAAAAGGATGCCATTTGATAAAACGAATACGGCACTGATAAGCACCGATATTCCTGGGCCCACATAGTTATAACTGACAAAAAGGAATATTAGAAGTCTTTTGATTACAAGGGTCCACACAACACAACAAACAAAACATACTGGTTTAGTTGCCGGATCTCTTTATGTAGGATGCTAGTGCCAGATGTCACTAGAAGTGTGTAATCAAAACTGAATGAAAGTCTCGCACAACGACAAAAAGGCTGGTTCAGATTGAGTCCAATAAATCGACTTGAAAAACTAATTTCTTTGATTCTCAAGGCAAGGGTTATGACACTGAACGTAATATGGTTTCATGGCAGCAACGAGTTCTTATATTTTTTGTATGAAATTTAATGTAGAAATGACATCAACTTGGAAACAAAATAAAAGTTCCAGATCGGATTTCAACCCACGACCCTCCGTGATCTAGTCGGAGCTCTAACCACTGGGCTACTGGAGAGGCTGTGGTGAGCAGGGGTGAAATGTGAATTTCATCCTTGCTCACCATAGTCTCCAGTAGCTCAGTGGTTAGAGCGTCCGGCTAGATCACGGAGAGTCGTGCGCTCAAATCCCATCTGGAACTCGGATTTTTTTCCGACTTGATGTCATTTCTACATTTGATATTCATCATAATACTCACTTTGGAGGAATGGGAGTTTAGTGAGGAGAATCAATATTTCGCTCGAGTCGTAGAGATTGATATTTGAACAGAGTTTTCATGTATGATTAGCAACAGTTTTCACCTCAACAGCTGTAAAAAGTGCTTATACGTTTGCACAAAAGATGCCCATAATTAGTATATAAGTCGAGAATATGCGAAGCTACTTTCAAGGAGTGTAAATACTATAAAAAGGATGATTAAAACTGACTAAAGTATCTAATTAAATGATGATAAAGTCATATCAGTGTGTCTGGTGCGAAGAAAGACACTAATGAGTATTCCCATTCAGCAACGCCATCAATTTGGGTTGAGGTTACTGGCTTAGCTACTGAATTATCATTTTTCTTTTCCTGCTTGAAACGAGAAATACAGTTTTGACAGGAAAACGTCTCTTTTCTGCAGCAGAACGTCAGACTGATCAAATTCTACAATCTTCCCGCTCTCAAGAACCATAATTCGATCATACTCCAATACGGTGTCCAGCCTGCATGCTATGGTAGGAACCGTGCACTGTGTTATCTCTTAACGTATAACGTCCTGTATCATTCTATCAGTCAGGTAATCAATGTTCCCGGTAGCTTCATCAAGGAGAATGATTTTGGCATTCTGTAGCAAAGCTCGAGTTAGAAAAATTAATTACCTTTCTCCCATGCTAAAGTTATGCCCTCTTTCGGTAATGACGAGTTGGAGAACTTTACACCTCCATGATTGTCTTTGATTACGACGTTTGTCCAACGTTGATCTTAGCGGCCATCTTAGGGGAAGTGTTACGATTCGCCATGGGTGTAGAGAAAACCAGGTGAATGGGAATTCCACCATAACCGAGATATTAAAACTGCAGTATAAAGTGGCTGCCAAGATGCCATTCAGGCTGGGTACAGTTTGTAAGCCCCACTTCTTTTCTGCACGATTTTTTTTTTTGTTTTATCCCCCCCCCCTTTCACTTTCTAATGGTCCGTCCCCTAGCACGTTTATCTTAATTAATAGCACAGAGGCATTAGAAGCTATTGTACTAGAATGCCATGACGGTTGCGGATTTGTTCATGAACAAGACGAGACGACTAGGTTACGGGGGCTGTTCATTTGCGGTGTCGGCTCCAACTGTGTGAAACATACTTCCAAATAATATTAAAGGTTCGCCTTCCACGAACATTTTTAAAAGTAAACTGAAAACGTGGCTTTTTAAACAAGCATTTTTAAGTTGAAGTTTTTAATTATATATCTTTTTAAATTTTTATCTGTTTTTGACATTTTCGTAATTTCTTATAGTAGATATTTGTTTATAGATTTAATTTCTTGTAAGCGCCATTGAACCATTGGTAAATGGCGCTGTGAAAACTTTCATATTATTATTAATAAAAAGAATAGGTAGTTAGCCTTTGTTTTGGTATCATCTCTTGCGCGAACATGTCCTCCAAAACACTGTAGCGCTAAAACTCGTACCTAGGTCTTTTGTCGCTGTACAGAAATTTTTCTGATTTACACACAATTTGACAAATTATCTGTAAACCAGAAAAAGTGCACTTTGCATCCATATTAAAATTCAATTTTACTTTTTTCGAGTTTCGTAAGGAGATGCATTTTATTTTTCAGTTTAATCCGTGTTTCCATTTTAGCTTAACATTCAAGTTCAATTTATTTTATGCTTTCATACACTATGAACTTTCAAATGACATTTCTAATTCCCTGGATTTTCAATTTCATTATTTTCTTATCAGTTTCTTTTTAAGTCTTAACTACAAAAGGAGTCCGCATTATTCTCTCTTGGCAATAAACCCGAATAAAATTCTTTTCAGGTGCGAGCTTTCTGACAAGTTTCTCTTTTCTCACATTATATACTGTATATTCAAAGCACACAATCGCAACGTGTAATGCATTCCTTTTGTGCAAAGCATATTTCTCATAGCTGGAACGAATTTTAATGTTGGTATTTACAGAGGTGTAAAATGACACACCCAGTTTAGCGTCGGTCGCCGTTGCATTGCAGGAGCAAGAGCGAAGACATCTTCGTCGATGTGCTTTCTTCAGACAAGTTTATGTTTCCTCTTGGTCTCTTGAGTGAATTCGTTTTGAACTAGTTGTTAACTTTTCGTTTAGTTGCACTAGCTTTTCGATTTTAGCCTTTTAGTGGTTCGATGTTGCCTTCACGCTATGAAAGTTTTGAGGTCATCCGATCATAATGAACATTTATTCTAAGGTGACACCGAAGACTGAATCATGATAAGTAAAGTTGATCATAATATACTGAGTTACTAAAGTTTTATTCGTCTAATCGCCGTTCCTTTCCAAGCACGACCATTCACATTTTCTCCCAAACCAAGAAAGGGGAAAACTCTCTCCTCGCTTGCAATCACTTTGACAGAAAGAGAACATGAACTTATATTTGAAGAAAATTCCAGTCAGTTCTCTTAACCCTGCTAGTAGTCGTTTATAAGTTTCTTTCCACATGTTGAAGTTTATTATTAAGAGCAAAAGAGCTTCAGCAACGCTACTGATCATATTTCACAACTATACTTATCAACTGACACATCTTGATGAAGAAGTGGCTAACGGCAATTGCATGAACTATGGAGGATTCAGGTTGTCTGCTCAAAGGAATTACGACCGGTCAACAACAAAGATGCCGCACGTGCACCCCTGCCCGCGTCTCCAACTTTGCCTCGAACCATGCGCTCCGCCGCGCCGTCACCACATCTGCATTATCTCCACCTTTACTGCCATAACACCTTTGTGCAAAGCATGGTGAATCATCTCCAGTTCATGTGACTGACGTAAGCTACTTCCTCATCAAGATATGTCAGCTCATTGCTTGAGACTTCTCCTAAATACCTGGAAGATGATGCTTTGTCACAGCTAGACAATCCTTGCACTGTAGTTCGTACACTCGAACATCTTGTCTCAGCTAAATGCCAAAAGGAAGGAGAAGTCTCTGAAATGAGAAAAGGATCACCAGCCACAACCTCTATCCACCTCATCTGCTGCACTCTATTTAACACAAGTAACAGGTTTCCACTTACACAATTAAGACATTTATGAGCTTACCTTATAAAAATACACCACACGTTGCATTCATTTGCTTTTCATTGCTTTCCCCAGAACGAGCGTTGCAAAACGTTCATGTTAAGTCAAACAAACCTTGCAGTGGACGACAGCAGCTCCACTGTGTAGCGACCTGATTAAACAGATATATCAAAGTTACCTTTCGTTTACCGTAAACTAAACATTAGCAACAAATTTGGTCAAAAGCACGATAAATAGAACTGACCTTACTTGGTTTTTAAGGTGGCTCCATAGAGTAATCATTTATGCATGGCGTTGCGCGCGAATTGGTATGTTTTGAATGCTGTTTTTGCATTCGCTTTCACACCTAGTCCTCTCAAACTTATTACATGTAATAAAAAATGATTAAATAGTGTTTTGCTATCATCTCTGTTAAAATTTTAGGATTTAGTCTTAAATAATAAATGCTTCAACAAAAGTGTTTTTTACTGTTTTTATGGCTTTATTTGTGATTTTCATGAATTTCCTTCGGTGAAATCTT